CATCACCATTCACCGTCGAACAGGTTAATTTTAGCTTGTTCAGCTGATCTGCGCAAAAATTCCTATGTACAGTCATTTACCGTCGTTCCTCATTCTGCCTACTACATTAACACCTGATATGCGCAAAAATTCATAAGTAAAGTCATTATTAACAAAAACATTCGGATTCTTTTATGAATGTAACAACGAACAGGAACAAAATGCCAGCGTCATCCAGTTCCAGTATTCCAGGGATCTGTTCGTAGGTAGTGGCAAGACTAAGAGGAGTAATTGTTACAGATACACGAGTCATTCCGGCGTGTGTTCCGTTGCGAGGCATTACGTGCGTTGATACCGCTAGCCGACTGCACGTCTCAGGCGGAAAAGAGCGACACACCTGAAATAATGAACGTTGCTCTACGCGCTAAATGTCTTGTCGAGGACTTACTTCTACCAATATATGACAATTAATCAACAACTCGTGTCAGCTTATTCTTCCACTCGTTTCTGTCACTTTCCTTTCGATCTGTTGAATTCGATTTTCATAATTCGTGGTGAACTTATTGTTTGATGAAATTACAGATCAACTCTTTGATAGTTATGGGACGAACTGGCTTGGACGAATACATTTTACGATTGTATGAGTGAGGATCAACTGAAAAGTTATCATGAATGCTTTCAAACATTTCAATCGTGTGCAGATAATTCCCACATTTTTTAAAGTTTCTGAAAAAATGCAAAAAATCATCAAATTATGAGATTACATTTCTTTCGAAAAGCGATGAGCAATTGACAACGTTGGACGCTCGGGTCGTAGGAACGGACGATAACTTTAAAAGATTCATTTCTTTCAAACTTGAAAACGATAATTGCTTCATACGGTTCAAATCAAACTTAAAACTGTTTACTGTTGCGAAGCAACCGGGTTTAGAATATTCGTCACTACATTTTCGTTTGTTGTGCACTCTTCAATTCCATAAACTCAATTGTTTTGAATGATGAACGTCTTGTGATTTGACTGTCTGTTTTTCGATTAATCTTTGTGATCGTGCACTTCTGATTGTTTGCACTGTGAGTGACCCAATGAAGTACTACACAATTCAATATTTTATACAAAGTTTATTCATCTATCACAGCATTATTTCATCAATTGACTCGAAAAATATCAACTACTAAAAGGTACAAAACAAAGTCACAATGTGAGGCACCGAAAGTTGCAACAAATACAGAAGCAAATACTCAGAGTATCTCATCAGCTTACACAATTAATCCGACTCTCAAAACACAACAATGAATCGCCAGCAAACTGCTCGCGAAAGAGAACTCAGTTCGTAGAGTGGATGTAGAAGCAAGATTGATAAGATCAAGTGAGTTATTTTACAAAGAATCACTGTACAAATAGACACTGGAGCATATGCCCAGTTTGTTTCGATAAATAGGTTTCGATAACCGAATCGCACACAACCCGATGCAAACTTCAATGGTGCACTAGCATAATTACCTCCTAGAAGTGTCGCAAAATGTTTATAGAAACTTGTTCACTGAGAAAACATTGGAACTGTCTTGCCTTCAACATTTGAAAATTGCACGAAAATGCACGTTGATCGAGTTTCTTACCACTTCAGCATTTCAAAAAAGTGAGAAGTCCATCGACATCGGTTTCATATCCATTTTGGCTCAAACTGCCCCATATTGACACAGTTCGAAAAAGTTCACCGAATGCAAAATTTACCCTATCAGCAGAAATCAATTATATCTGGTTTTTACGTTGTCCTGTATAAGCAAAATCTTCAAACAATTCATAGAACACGAACAGATTTTGTGGGAAGTTTCCTTGCAAAACTCGAAAAGCTGAAAGACTGATGCAGGCAGCAACACACATCCAACAGATAAGAGAACGGTAATGATATTAAATTATGCCAGAGTAAGGTGCAAGGCTCACTAAATCAAGGAACAAACGAATAGTCGATCTGTTCCACGCCTCGTATTCGCAATAACGTGCAGCAGCACAGACTGAAGGTCACTTGAAACTGATGAATTGAGCAATTGTCATTAGCTATAAACGATCATCAAGAGTCATATCCTTGAGTACGATAAACTGGGAAAAGGACACCTTCTTTTGTCGCTTTCAGTGTTGAGCTCAGTGTTGAATCCTGCAAACAAACCTCACTGAACCACTTTTCAGGTGAGTTCCGATGAAACAAAAATGCACTGAATCTGCGTGCTTGTGATAAATCCACTAGACGCATAGTTTCCTATATTACCAAAGAGTTTGACAACGATTATATGAAGAATTGCATCGTCCGATTCGTTGTTTATCTCATTAATAAATCAAAAATTGTTCAAAAAACAGTCACTTACCATTTCGTTCACTAATGTATGCACCTGCATTACATCACCACTAAAGTTCCTCGATCGTGGCCCAATCTTTCCATAGGCGTCGCTGAGTTGTCTGAATTCGTTAATCATTGTTAACTGTGCACGAGGGTTCTCCTCAACAATCTCTTTCGTCAGCGCGGACATTAAAGTGAAAGACTTCGCGAATCGTAAAATATTGATGAATTGATGATCCAGCAAGTGTTTGGCTTATTACAGAGGACAACTAGTGAAGCGTACGGAATGGAAAGAATGCGAGGTGATAAAGGAGAAGAAATCTACGCAAGAAAGATTATTTCGTGTCCAGAAGTGCTGTTTCGCGACCGATAAGCTTGAATAAGAAGTAACCGAAGTTCAGTGGCATGCCTTTGCGAAGTCTCAATCGTCGTTTCACTAATATGGTCACACAAATGTTTTTGAATCTGAACTAATTGCGACTGAATTCCTTTTACAAAATATTTCATTGGTCTGTTGACAGTTCATTGTATGTTTCAAAAGCTATTTTTTTCGTGAGCATTCCGCCCTCCCAGGTTATTTCAAGTATCAAATGATCGTTCAATTTTCTCATGCAGATTTGATCTTGACTGGACAAGATACATCAGGGTTGCTGACCGACAATGAGCAGTGAATATTGCCGAATAGCTCTCGACTACAACACTCTTGACGAACCACTTCAGTGGTGAATGTGTTAGGTGAGACACCATTTCCGACTTTTAAACGGAACACGAACTAGAATCATAACTGGAGTTGGAATGAATTCTGAGTGAACCAACCTCGCTTTCAATGGCACATTGAGTGTTCGGTTTGCATACTGAAGTCCATCGTGATTATCCACGGGATTCTGCGGAGATGATCCATTCAGCTTTTTGCTACAACTGATTGCGATTTTGATCACTAAGCTCTCATGGAACCGATGATTGGTATCATTATGAGATTAATTTTGAAATAACAAGTTGATATCTGAATACCTTGAAGAGGTATTCAAATGGTAGTTTCTGCTGACTGAACCACTCAATAACTCACTCGTAAGTTTTAGTCTCTTCGTAAGGATCTGGCAGTGGTCGAGAGGATAGTATGGTTTGTGCAGTTTTTCGGTCGATTTGTTCAACATCATACGGTCGTGGTCCTGCTGTCTGACTGTCGACCATATACTCTCCACTCAGTTCACCTTTTATTCGGCTGAAAATTCGATTTGTTTCAAGAATTTCACAATACAGGCCAAAAACACTTTCCGAAAAGCGATTCTGATCGAAAGGCAGGTAAAATGTGCGCTTTCATTGAACGCTTATGAGAGCATTCTCCATACCATTTGTATTTATTACACGCTCATTCGGTATCGCAATGCCCACCTCAACAGTCCATTAGGGATTATAGTATAAAGAAGAAAACGTAAAAGTCCGAGAGCACAAAGCATTTTGCCTTTGAATGATCAAATTTTTAGGGAGCGCGAGTTACCAAACGTAGATTATACTAGGGACCATGCAAGCCTCAACCTTACTCGTAGCTCATCGTCAGTGTGGAAAGAAATGATACATTGAATGTTTGTGTTTATTCTAAGTGCAGGATTTTGAAGCGATCTGGACTTTGCACGTGAACTTTTTAACATCTGACGATGAAAAACTTCAACATTCGAATCAATTGTTCTTGAAGGGATGATAACGGTGCCGATGTATAACACCAAAGACTTTTGAGCTGTAAACGAACCGTTTGCAGTATTTGGCAATGTAGAAGAGCATACAGAATGCGAGTAGGAGTAGAATGACGCAAATCAAGATCAGTGCAAGCTCAAGCATTGAAATACGTCCGGTTGAGTCGACGGCTGGTAATGTTACCGCCAGCTTAGGTAATTCAGTGTCAAGTGCACTACGGCTCTGTTCGAGGATTCTGAATTAAAATGTCACTTTGAAGCAAATAGTGATAGTGATAAACCTTCGAAATCAATTATATTTCAACAGTCAACTCAGTGAATTGCCTCTCCTCTGAGGAACCGAAACGAATGCATCCGTATACGCTCCAATAGATAACTTTCAATCAGCACATATCTTTTTACTGATTGTGAGCTAAATTATTTAGTCATTATCAAGACTAAACTGATTTGACAAAAGTTATCGGCCCTTGGAATCACATCAGTTTGATGAAGGATCAATGAAGGTAAAATAATCGCTGATAGCATCAGGTCGTTCCATTACATAACACTGATTGCTACCATCATTAAAAATAATGAATTTTGACTTTTTTAATAGAATCAGATGATCGCTCGCGTTACGGTCTCATCAATTACGTTTTTGCGTGAATCAATGAAAACGAAAAAGATAATGCCGTAGAAAAAAATTACGTCTTGAGTTGATCTCGATGGATTGGTACGTGAGTCTTTTTGTCGAGTGCGTAGACGAAAAGGTGAGTTCTGCAATCGAAATAAATTTAGAAATGATCACTGAAATTCATAACTGTTAACATGCAATGAAGTTTGCGACAATGATGGTCATTCTAAATTGCAACTAAACGTTCTCGCTTCTAACACGATAGCATTTGCTGGCTAGTTTTGTCAGCCCACCCCAAATTCACTTCGCAATGAGACAGAGTGGGCTTTACCTCAGATTTATAAGAGAAAAACTGAGTGTAAAAGATTTCCATATATTCATTTCGAATTGTGCTTTTCTTATTCTGTTCAGATAGTCTTGCGATGATTTATTTAACACGATATTTGCTTGAACGATGAACCTTTGTGGATTAACTTGTCCTTCATCGTTAACGTAAGCTTGCTTGACGAGAACGTGTACGTCCTTATCGGTTAATTCGCTCATTTTCCTCTCCACCACCCAGTCTTCGATATCATGCTGAGGAACATCTGCCGACAAGAGAACGATATTGGTTTCGGGAGCTAAACGATAGATCTGCAAAAGTCGTTGTTGCTAAGTTGGCAATTTTGTCTTGACCATATCACATAAATGCGTTGAAAAGCGATACCTCAATTGGGACCGAAACATTGTGCAAGCCATCACTGACCACCACTTCAAAGTCGTACACATCTTCACGATCATTGATCAACGCTTTGGAGAGTGTTATTAGTCCACTGGTTTGATTCAACATGAAATGCTTCGCGTATGGAATCGTTGCTTCAGATATGGAATAAGTTAACGGTACACGCCCGTCAGCATCTTCAGCCTGTGAATATCATGGAATTCTCAATTCACCGTGTTCGATGGCACTGCCGCGAAATCAGCTCATTCACAACGCATTTTTACGGGCGATCGCAAGGGTTTTCATGAAACTGACGAAAGTACGAAGCAATTCAGCTGAAGTGGACTATGATTTCGGCGATTTGCAATTGCTTCCATCCAAACCGCCATCGAAAAGGGAAATCGCTTGCGGAACAATTTCTAAGAACTCAAGCTATTCTTAGATGCAGCACTGTTCTGTTGCTGAACGCAAAACCGCGAGCCAACACGCATTCATTTCTGCAACAAACTGTTGCTAGTGAACGTTTCCTCAAGCGACTCACATGGATACGAGCGATCGGTGTGAGTACAGGTGCTTGCCAGTCCACCGAAAACACATAAATACCATCAGAATTCAATTTCACAAACTGAGGCTCGTTGTCATTTTCATCAATCACATGAACAGCTATCAACGTTTGCCAGGCTTCCAGTTTTGACTTCGTATCTTAATGAGCAATAATTATGTACTTTTACTGCAAATTTCCATTAAGAATGCAAGAGTCTACTCATTGAGATTAAAATCTCTGTTCAAGAGGCCATTGGTTATCAATTTAACGGCTTACCAAAGGCAAGAATTTTGCTTTTCATCAGTTTATTTCTTAAAAAGTGATGATAAAACGAAAATGCAATTGCTCAGCAACAGAGATGATGTAAACAAATGATATTAAGTATAACTCGATCAATATTTATCAAAATATTGATGAACAGTGCAGAGAAATGCACGTACGTTCAATCACTGGATTGATTTGTCGTGTGGAACGAGTGGCGCTGGTGTTACTTCCCACTTCAGTTACGTTCACGATGATAAAGTGAAGACTTCGTTTCTCGCGATCCAACGGACCCAAAACATACAGTTCACCGCTGTGCTGATCCATTTCGAATTCCGCTACAATTTAGGCTCACGTGAACGATCACAAACTTCGTGAAGTCGAAAAAAATTACGACCACAATCGGATACACAACGATGACAGCATAGAATTAACACAACAATCGTTTGCTTAAAAATCTGGCGACACAATTTGAAATCCACTCAAAAAGTGGAAGAGATATTGCGGAAGTAAAATTGATTCGCTAGAAGAATTTACCTGATCCTTGAGCGATAACGTATTCCACTGGTCGACCCTCTTTCTCACAGTTCGATGTCACCTTGACTAATTTGTGTCTTCCCAATTGATTCTCACGAATTTGTGCATTGTACAACTTCGACAGGAAATGGCATCGCTCGGTTGATGCCGAAGACGTTGTTGTTGCTACTACTGTGATCTTCTCACCATTTAGAAATACGTTCAGCTAAATTACTCGTTCAGTTAATTAAGAATCAATTAGGGTCGCGCATGCTTAATTGGTTTTCACTCACTCAACATCCATTTCCTAATGTTCACTTTCCTCACGTCAAGATGAAATGATATAAAATTGAAGCAAATCAAAATAAATAAACTTTGATTGACAAATTAATAGCATTGATAAACACACCACTGTCTACCACTTGGTATTCTTACATTGGAAAAAGCTCCTCTGAACAAACAAGAAAAGAGGATTTAATACAAGTGAGGATGTTTTCCTATGAGTAAGCGATTGTGACGATCCCAATTCATTGCTGAAACAGATGGCTATCTGGAACATACCGTAGTGGTTGCGCTTTCGCCTTGCTTGTTGGTTGCCGTTATTTTGATGATATGATAGCGATTTTGCTCAGATTTGATTGGTTTCCTTCCGAGGCTGACTACACCATCGTTGGAAATTTCGAACAGACCCGAGAATGAGTCTGCAATAGAACTGCTCGAATCATTTACGTTTTGCGAAAGACACCCATCGACTGTACCAATTACCGTTCATTGCTTCATACGGAAATGCCAAATCATAGTGAAAAGCCCAGCTGAACATGAAAATGAAATGCTGATGTTATCATTTTGAGTTTCACCATCAGAAAAATATTCGCCGAATGCTGTCGTTCAAGTTCCACGGCTTTCTCACATGAATCACGCCGAAATGTCTGTGAAGACAATAAAAACAAAACGCCGAAACGCACCGTCCAGTGAGTAGGTAATACCGTCGAGACCAGCACTCACTTGCGTGATATTCTGTCCAGCTGTTGCATCACTGCTCACATCCACTGTATATTCGCTTTGTTTGAAATGTGGACTTTTGTTTGTGTGCGAGAAGACTTCAATTCGGATCTGCAACAATGCGTTATTTTCTAGGTACTATTACTTTTCACTGGAGTCTGTCTGATTAAGTCAGTAAATTTAGCAGCCCAAGTAAATGAGATGTTGAGAATGGAAGGAAGTTTTGATTAGCTCTATGCAAGATCTAATTAGTCGAAGGTGTAGGTTTATATTAGCAGGAAACCGCTCACATCATGTGTACTCTTTAGCGCCGGTCGTCCCAAGTCACTGGCCATCACTGTCAAGTTGTATTCATCGTCTTGCGTTGACGATAGTTCCTTCGTTGTTGTAATTTCACCGCCTGAAAATTGCCAAATTGATCACTTTTGCACAACAAGAGTGGTCGAATTTGTTCGAATCACAGAATCACAGCTGAATCTCCATCAGACCAAGGAAAACCGAAGCAAAAGTTTTTGCAAATAATCGTCCAGTCTATGCATTCCTAATCCGTACCTCAAAAGTTGAAGACTCGTTGAACACGCTCGTCGACGTTCTTTTAAAGGAAACGTTACGAAATCAAGAACTCAAATTATTGAGGAGTGGAAACTTGGGTGAGTTTAAAAAGTTAGACGGATTATAGGAATAACGAAAGCAATCTTACTTTTACGAT